TGCTGCCACATGTCCCAGTGGTCCGGGTCTCAACCCAGTACTCGCGGATCTCTGGGTCGTACTTGCACCAACTCAGTCATCACCACACAAAAAGCAAGCACGCAAAAAAGTTCATGCAAATCGAGCTGACCTGATTTTATATACAACAAGACACCGGCACAACTCGTCAGGATGCTTTTCACAGTAAGCAACTCGCTTGGCCACCGCTTTCCTCATTGTCAAGCATAAGACTAAAAACGTGCCATTAGCCACACTCAAAGCACACATGTGCAGGCAGCTAAGTGTTGCTCGCATCAAGGCCAAGACCCCCCTCAGCAACAGGTTTTTTCATGTCGGTTTCCGAATAGTACCCCCCTTCTGTAGTCATCTTCTTGAAGAGACTTGAGGTGCGCTTGTGCTCAAAGAGTTGCACAAAACGTTCCTGCACCAAAAATATATTACAATCATTACAATAAGAACTTCTTTGTTAATTTGATCTGTCCTTGTTGCCGTCAGCTTGAAGCAAAAGGCGAACAAGCTCTTGCCTACCAGTACCCTTCTTAAGATATTGCTCATGAATATCTGCGGGAACTTCCATTTGACCATCCTTTTTCCTGAGTTGGTGATTTGGTCAAACAAACCTGCAGGGCAGTAGCAAATATCATATATATATATATATATTGATCAGCAAAGCTTCGGAGCACACATGCGATTGAGCTTACTCAGGGCAGCATTCCATGCCTTGCTCCCGATTTCACAGTAGGCGTCTGGCCCCCGCTGGTCTGCTACAGCCAACTCAGTAGAGCCACCCAACTCAGTAGAGCCACCAGAAGGCACATTCACATGGCCATCTGTTGGTCCAGGAGTCTCATTATTGGCAATCTCAGCAGTCTCAGGAACCTGTGGGGGCTCAACAGCCCTCTGAGGAGCACCATCAGGACGAACTGCGCACACCTGCTCTGATTCAGAATTAGAATTAATACTGCGTGCATGCACATATACGGTTTGCACCAAGACACTGGCTTAGGCGGTAAGAGCTTGCCCCCAAATCCAATGCGCTGCTGGTTTGAATCTGGTGGGAGATCAAACGGGTTCTGTGACTGTGGTGTCTCTGCCTGCACCAACGCTTTGACTTGAAAAGGGCCTGATCATATAATACACCCTTGCCTGGAGATCACAATTTGGATCTACCACAACCTCCACCTAAGTTGGTCAATCACCAATTTTAAAGCACATATTTTTGTATTAAGTCAGAATGCAGACATCGAAGCGGTGGCAGTCGAGGCAACAGTCAGTGGGACCTGTGCAAAACAATCAATGGTTCAACAACTGCTATATGGCCAACTACAACAGTTCAACCCACAAGTATATGGCCATGCCTCTTCATCTTTGTGCCCAGGTGGCGTTGGGGTCATGTGTTCAAAGAAGCCCTGAACCAACTTGAAAAAGTTCAAACTATAGTGCAATTGATCCAATATAATACCCGCCTTAAGTTCAAGAGTGTCCGCATCAAGGTCCACTGGGCTGTCCTGGGATTGATGACTGACATCCATCTTGCCAAGGGTCCATGCCTGCTGTGCCTGCATTGGATCCTGCGCAGCAAATGTAGCAAATCACACCAATCCCTCAACATAGAAAACCAACTCATGAGACACTTGCACACCTGAAAGAGCTGTCGTGGCAGCATAGGCGACAATTCCAAGCCAAGTTGGTTGTCCGGGTACGGGTCCGCCAACAACTTCTCAGGAGAAGGAGAAGGCTGATCAGCCTGGGTCCCTTGAATCACTGCTGGCACTGCTGGCACCCCTGTCTTCTGATCAGTATTCAATGTTTCCATTCGCCTTTGGCAATCCTGCGCAAACCAGATACAACGATCTATATATAGTATATAGGGGCCTTCTCAGGCCCCATAGTGGTAGCACTCACATGCACCACTGCAGAAACAGATCAACTCTGCAGATTCATCATACACTTCTCCAACCTCCACGAGTTTGGCTAAGTCGCCCTCATTGTCAGGCAGCTCAACCTATATCATATGCAAATGTGAATTAACCACACGTCAGTATAGAGGCCTGCCTTGACATCACTTTCCAGATGTGCCATCGCATGGATAAAACTCGATCCTGATTGGCATTGACCTGCAGCATGCAACATACCAATCACCAAAAACTTCTTGAGCTGCAAACAAGGTTTTCTTTAAAGTGCCAACTAGTGGCTCTCCAGCTTCTTGGACATGTTGTAGGACAGAATGTTGCTGCACAGAAATGCACAGAACTTGACACTGAAAGCTTCACAGCACAACAAGTTGATCAAGAACCATCTCAGAAGTGATCTTGAGTATTAATTCAGAAAAATACGTTTTTGTACGTTTTTATACGTATTTTGTACGGAAAAATATGGTCGTCGTATGAAACAAATACGGTCGTTTACGAAAAAAATACGGTCGTTGAACAAAAATACGGTCGTGCGTTGCAAGAAATACAGTCGTTTCGAAAAGAATACAGTCGTTTCGAAGGAAATACGGTCGGCGTATGAAACAAATACGGTCGTATAGAGTATATACGCATGAGCATGCAAGGATGCTTAAAGCACTGAAAAATACGCACCATATACGCACCAAATATTGCAAAATATTGCCCAAAAAACAATTTTTCCCCCGCATTGGATCCAATGGTCAGAGCTTTTCTGGAAGCAATGACCTCCAGAGGGCCGGGATCCGCAGCCCCCTCAAGCCCCGGAGGTAGTGGACAACCTCCACAAGATTGCCATCCTCACACCGGTCACCATAATCGGCTTGAGCGAATGCACATCGAGCTTCTTCAGGAGTCGCTGTCATAGGAAACTGCCCAAATGGCGGCTCCAACGCACCGCTGTCATAGAGACCCTTGATGTAATGCCCAAACATGCGGGTGTAGATCCTCATCAATCAGAATCGATTGCATCAATCAATATTAATGCAATCAATCATCAAGTCAAGTCATTCAAATGCAGCTGAAGGTCCCAGTGTCTGTCAAAGCACGTGTCCCTTTCCAAGCTGCCTTTCCAGCCTTGTTGACATATTTGATGACCGGTGCCTCCACTTCCTCCTTCTCACGAAGCTCCTTGAACTTCTTTACATGCAGCTTTGGAGTCGACAAGCAGCCCACTCCCGGAGAGTTGCTCCAGGTTAAGCTCCTTTTGGCGTCTTGCAGCCAAAAGCACACATCCAGTAAGCCACCCTGTAAACCTGAGCACAGGAAGTGCTCAACAAGTTTTCCAAATTTGGTGCACCACAGACCCGGGACGCACTGCGATCAGTCGCGAACGACTACGGCTGCATTTGGCTGTTCGAGGATTGCCAGCGCAGCTGCCTAGGGATCACCAATCCTACCACACCTCCTGGAGGAATCAAGCCACCAGGATGACTAGACCTGTTGGCATAGTCCAGCCGCCTTCCAACTAGACCACTGGTCCCAGCGATAATGAATATTGAGTTATTTTGGCCATGAAAATGTGGCCAGAATAGCTCAATTTTCACATTGTCGCTGGGACCAGAAATTATACGCGACCAAATGTGTGGCTTTAGAAAACTGTAGCCATGTGATGCATGCAAGGAACACAGGTTTGCTCACATACAAATTTCATTCGTGGATACTCAAAGATGAGACTGGACCTGGGCTGCTCCACACACCATGTAGAACCTAGAGCGTGGACCAGCAGCAGCAGGAAACTGCACCTCAGGTCGTGAATTGGTCACCATCAAAGACTTAGGCCTCTCCAGGCCCATGAACATCGATTTGGGCTTCTTCAAGCCCAATGGGCCTCTTCAGGCCCATAAACCTGAACTTGGATGTTTTCAAGTCCATTGGCCTCTTCAGGCCTTAAAAAATCATGGCAGCCTCATCTGCAAGCATGGCGCCTGCAGGCCATCATGTTGCCAGCCACGACACTCGGAAAGGGCAACCCCTCTGGCGCCAAAAATGTACGATATGTACTTCCACGGGATGTCGAGACCCAGGTTGCACAAAGGATTCCAAACCAAGCCAAAAAGTATGAGTCTTGTCGTCCACGTAGAATGGTGGCCACAAATGTCCTTGACCACACAACCGCATGCATCTAGTCAAATTTGCAAATGTCAAAACTTCATACAAGTGTCGCAAGACCTGCTGGCGTGTTGATATCCATTCCACGAGTATACTCCTTGTCAACTGCAGCTGCTCTGAACCCTCCTTGCCGAACCTCTTTGGAAAGAGCAGCCCGACCAGCAAAGAAATCCATGACACTGTAGGCCTGCAAATGGCAATGCTGGCACCAAAGCAACTTGCATGAACACATGACAGCAAATCCTTTGACAACCAAGCTGGCTTATCACTGATGCCCTCCACAAACTTTTCTGGCAACGCGTCAGTGCTGCGTGCAGGCTTGCCAGCTTTAGTGCTTCGCACGCTTCAAAGGTGGCCCACTCCGTGGTGGCTGTGCAGGCATCGCCTTTACAGGAGTCCGTGGTGGACCTGGCGCCGGCTGTGGCTGACGCTTCGCAGAGGCTTTGGGACGCAAGCCACGTGACATCATCATGGTATAGCCATCCTGCAGCAACAAATGACACTCTGACAAACACACTGTTCCAAGCATCGACTGATTGAACCATTGATTCATTGACAGACTGATTTGATTGATTGATTGATTGATTGATTGATTGATTGATTGATTGATTG